CGAAATTTGTCACCAGTGGGTTTCGAACCCCCTACCTGGCCGACATATCGCTTGGGGGTGCAACAACTTAACCACCTCACTAAGTCACCACACCCTATAATTGAAGTATTAATATGAGTGTATTTTATATAATAAATATAAAATTAATAAATATTTAATATCAATATAAAATCAATAAATATTTTAATATGAATATAAAAATTAACAAATATTTTAATTTTATTTCATAATTAAAAATCATATTATTTATATAAATTAGTTATTAATAAATTTTTACTAATTAAGAATTAAAGTAATTCACAACAGTTTTACTTTGATTAATAATTAATATAAAAATATAATATTAATTCTTTATTTTTTTTAAATAAATATTACAGAATATAACAGAAAATACTCTAACTAGTTAAATTAGAGATAGAAACTAATATCTGAAACTAATCTTAAAATCTAATTTAAAACTTGTAATTCAAGTTTTATATCTTATTATACACAAAATATCAAAGATTTTGTTTTTTTTAAACCTGATAAAAAAATTAAAAATTTTATTATTAGTAGATTTTGTAATAGCAAATTAAACTATTTAACTTACAAATATATATACAAATTCTTAAAATTTTTACTAATTTTTAGAAGATATTATTTGAATAAATGATATTTCTAAAGTGATTGATATTGTTAATATATTTTATTTTTTATTAATGTATACTAGTATTTAAACAATATATACTATTTTTATTTAATATTTCTTCTAAATAAATGATCTTTTCTTGTTATATAATGATAGTGTTTTGAAGTAATTCATTATATTGTTGTAGCAAACTAAAAATCTTTATTTCTTGATTTTTTATTTTTTTATATATGCTTTAATTTTGATTTTATATATTTAAATTTCTTTTTTAAGATAATCAATCTTTATTTAGTAATTAATACTGCAAAGCCTATATTTTTTATTATTTTTTTGTAATTATTTTATTGTAATATTATTCTCAAATCTTGAATCTTTCTTGTTGAGCTTTATTGAATATTTTTAATTTTGTCTCATTTTTTGGAGTATGAAGTATAAATTTAGAGAAACCAAGACTATTTTGTTAAATTACTATTTATAGCTTAATAGTATAAATCAATTGTTTATATATATAATAATTTGGTAATATTACAAGTTCATTCTTAAAAATTCTTGCTATTACGTAGCTTACTCTAATTTGCAAATATTAAAATAATTAAATAAATACAATAAACTTTATTATTAGAGTTATAAAATAAAATTTGTTACAGAGATTTTTTTAAAAAAATAATGTATAATTTTATATTATATATGATTTTATAATCTAATTGGCCAAATATTTTATAAACAGAGCTTAGAAACAAAGCAGGACAAAGCAGAATTATATAATTAATTAATTAGTAATTAAATTTTGAGACAATTTATACATCACACCCTGCAATGTTGCTGCATCTCTGCAGATCATAAAATCAGATGTAATGTGAAATCAAAACAAACAGTTTTTTCATTAGTTAAGGTTAGAGTGAGGTAAAGGTAGGTTATAGACTTGAAGAAAGGTTTTATAGTAAAATTTTAGGAGAAATTTTTTTTGTTACAACATGAAGAGTAGTTTCATATATGAAGTTTTGTGTTATAAACAATTTTTGACAAAGCAAATGTTTGTTTTTAATTTTCTAATTGTGCTATATTACACCTGATCTTAAAATTTGATTGGTCAATCATGTGAGAGACAGTAAATTAGTGACATCGCAGGGTGTGGTAAATAAATGTACTCTTAAATTTTAATAGTATTATATAATATTGCTCTGTTTATAAGCTTTCTTTATAGAATTTCTGCTAATTAGCTAAATTATCTAGAAATCATATGACTAAAATTTTTTTTGCTATAGCTAGAGTTTTATCTACTATTTGAATATATGCCAAATTTGTAACACAGATTTACTAAACTTTAATAAGATTTTAATACAAAGAAAACTTAAAACAAATATTTAATTTGCCAAAAATCACAAAATCTTATATAAAAAAACTACTTTTAATACTCTAACAAAAGTTTTTGTTAAACAATTTTATTATATAAACTACCACCTCATATTGTATAATAAATATCACTTATTATTCATTATTATATTGTTTTTAGTTCTGTTAGATTAGACTTTTCTTGTCTTCTCAAATCTTCTATATAATAAATAACTGCACCTAGCCCATATGTAACTTAAAATTTACTAATTAAACAGCCTTTGAGGCTCTAACAAAAAAATCTTTGACATTTTAATATAAACCATACTTTAACCCAAACCTTAAACCCTAACCTTAATCTAATATTAATCAAATTAAGTTTTGTTTCTTTAATTTTGTATTACACAAATTTACAAATTATATCCGTATTTCATATGCTAATGTATGTTAAGTAATTTTCTTATAAAAATTAAATTTAAAAATAAGATTTTTTTATCAAATTTTAAATAAATAATGATATTAATAATATGATTTTTTAAAAGTTTATTAAATAAAAAAATTTTCAAGCTTTGTAATAAATATATATTTATTAGATTTGAATAGATATTTGATTTTTTAAAAATTTTTTTGAGTGGGAAAAAAAATTTGTCACCCTCTTTACCACCCTGATCGACAAATTAAATACAAGATCAGGTGTAACGTGAAAACGAAATCACCTCACGTTCTAATTAAAAAATTGCTTGCAAAATTTTAAATTAAAAACTTCTTTTCCTAAAGACACGTCTAACTCTAGTCTAATGCTAACCTTAACTTTAAACTAACTTATTATTTATTGTTTTGATTTCACGTTATACTTGAGCTTATACATCGCATAGGCGAAAAAATCTACAATCCTTTTCAATATTCGAAAATGTATTCAAATTTTGTGCAATTAAAGTTTGGAATCGGTTTATTTTACTTATGGAAAACCGAATAAAACCGGGTTTAATATAAGAAAAATAAAGCCGGTTCTAAACTCTAGTGTAAATTATTAAATAAATTCTTGAATAATTTAATTAAATGACGATGACAAAAGAAATCCTCTTTTTCAAAAGAGCACTTCGTCGACATTCAATATTGTAAGAAGTGTTTGATTTTCTTGTAAAAGTTTTTTCATAGGTAAAACTGTGGAGCTTTCATTACCATACCCAGCTACAAGTATACCGATAAGAAAAACAGTGGGAAGCGTATCAAGATTAAATATGAACGCAGGTGAACCACAATCACCAGGCTTAGATATGATACTTGTTTGGATAGTGTCCGTATGTGTAATTGTGGAACCATTCCTGTATGCGGTAGACTCCGCACCGACTTCTAATATCTTACCACATGTTACACGTGAGGTAACACCAGATATACATACTGAAGCTCCTATGTATGACTCATCTATATCTAACGAACCGAGAATATGATATATCTCAAAATCTGAATCGTTTACCCTTATGGCCGGGGAAGCGATTTTTTGAGTATTTTTCAAGATAAATCCCCTATCGTTACCATCTTTAAAATCTTGTAAAACCATTGGTCCAATATAATCATCATCATCAATTCTTGTTGGCGGCCCCACCCTATCCCATGATAGATGATAAAAAGAAACAATTCCTTTCTTATCAGGTACGGCATGATCTTTACAATGCCCTGCGGTCGTAAGGAGGAGATTTTTATTAAAAATCGCCCAGAATCCAGCACTACATTTACTATAACCAGTATGTACGCCTTCTCCGGCAAACATAGGAATGTCTATTCTTCTGGGTTGCGCATGAACCTTTTTTTCTATAGGTCTTAAAGCAAGCGGATTAGACGAATCAAACGAGTTAAATCTCACTTCTTTCTTTTTCAACGGTATAAAATCTTTTTCACCACTATCGAAAAATTCTTTGTTATTAAATATAATCGGATTAAATTTTTTGGCACTGTCTATAAATGCTTGGTTATTTTCATTATGATTTAACCGTATTTCTATATTATTCTTTTCGTAATTTTTACTTAACACAATTGTGGTCACATTGTGTTCTTCAGCTAATCTATCTAATTCTTTAAGAGTGGAATCTAATTTGGCTAAGGAATTTTTCACTTTTACGAATGATAATAAACTTTTATATTTTTTTATAGTATGGTGGTTTATTATATTTTTATTCTTAGTTGGATCTGTTGTGTAGATTTTTATTTTATTTTCTTTTAGCTCTGTAGAGGATCCACAATAGATTGCGTCATTTAGTAATGGTATTACTTTACTGTTTCCCTCGATCAAGAATTTCTGTTTAAGCAATAAATCAGGTACTTTGCTTTCTGGTACCTTCAAATATTGTGCAAGTTGTGAGTAACGGGCATATGCTGTCAAATTATTTTGTAACAGCAACGAAAAAAGTAATAACTTTAAAATAACTTTCATGATAACTAATGTTGTCAATAATTTTGACTTGGAGTTTTTATATAATTTATCGTCTATTAATTATAGACATTTTTATTTCTTTCTCCAATAAATTATAGATATTATTTACCATTTCGATTTTAAGACTTTGTTTCACACCATAAGATTTACTATAACGATATCCCTTGTTATACATCAAATAGATTCAAATTCTTGTAATTGTGTTTACTAATTCTCACACACTTCACTATCGGAGTACCATAAAAGTGTGGGCGTTCGAGATTTACCGTAAATCTCAGTATACAAGATACGGGTCCCTTATACTAGATAAGCAGATAAGCAGATTAGATTTTTCAGGTCAAGGGTAATTACCCAGTTACGGCTATACCATATGAGTGCGGCCAAGGGAAAACCTCGTTGTTGTTTTTTTTGATAAACTCAGCCATGACCTGCAACATATGAATCACATATGTTTTGGATCACTGTTGAGTTTATCAAAAAAACAACAACGAGGTTTTCCCTTTGCCGCACTCATATGTTATCTTATGTTCTAATGTCCCCACCTCTAGAGCAGGCTCTAATGTACGGTGTATCTGCAATACTATTACCTTTGTAATCTACATTTTAAGCCTCTAAGTCCGTCATATCATTGACAAATCATAATTTCAATGCGAATTATTTTATTTTTTTGATCATGAACATTAATTACTTAATTCAATGTATACATTTTTCAGAATTAAAAAGAACTATTCAATGTAGTACCAGGAAGTACATTACGGCGTATTTTCCAAAAAAATAAACTGTGTCATCAATAATTGTTTTATGACCATTTCTTATTGTAATCACATAATAACATCTAACTCATCTTTAAAAAAAATATGGGTTTAATAATGGTCGTAAAAATTAATGATGATACATTTTATTCATTACTATATTAGGTTCGTACACAATTTTAAATATGCCGTAACGGTAATAAATTTCAATGGATCTCATTTTCCCCACAACAATTTTGCTGACAATTAAGGTTAGCCCAATTGATAGTTAGGGTTAGTCTGGTTTATAGCTAGCATTGGTTAGAATTAAAAGTCGGTGAAATACAGTAACTGTCGGTGAAATCTTAATATAATAAATCCCGCGCAGTATAGGTAACCTCACTTTATAATCAATTGATTAGTTGGCCGAATATATTAACTTAGTAAAAAAGAAACTAACAAAACTTCATTTTAAGAATAAATTAAACGCTTTGCTAAGCTACGTATATAATGCTTTAGAACACAGTGTAAAGAACTTCTAATGTGTGAAAATAAAGTTAGCGACAAGTAATGCTGCAGCTGTATTGAGGTAATTAATTGCGACCGATTATATAGGTTGTAATTTCGGCCGTATTAAAGTACTGTGTCGTAAATCGTAATTCTTGTAGTATCTGGTATGCAGTAAATCTGATATAATTACGATAATAAACTGAATAAACTACGTACGTATATACATGTGGCGCAATTAATTTATTACGTATGTACTCGAAGTTTATTATAATTATGTATATAAATAAAGGGTTTTTATTTTATTTGATATATTTATTTTTCTTCACAAATGAAGAATCATGGAAGTTCGGATGATAAACCTTTGAAAATGACGTATCTATTGCAAATCAATGATGGAATATTCATCAGACAAATTGGTTCAAAATTAACATTTAATAAAGAATAACAAAACACCTACACTAACCAGGCCGTCAGAAATTCAGACCAGAGAAAAAGGATCCAAGTCGTGGATACCGGAACTTGTATACTTAAGAAAATATATATTTAACCTTTATTTATACAGATTTTAGCTGATCCTTGTCGATCACTACTCCATTCTGGTCAAATTAGCAGATCATTTAGCTCTGGAGATTATCAGATTTGGGAGTAGTGATTGACAAGAATCAGCTAAAAATCCGCCCAGATGTTCTTTTTTGCATTGATCTATCATAATATAAGTACGTACATACGTACGTACGTACTAGGGGTGGTTACTTAACTAAGTAAATCAAAACTATGTGAGCAAGCTATAGAATTTGATATAATAGATTTGCATGTTACACAAATGAGAATCATATTAAATATCGATATCGATATCAATATTTTAAGCGATACATTCTAAATGCATCAACTCATTATTGAGACTAGGTTGTTAATCGGTCCGACTAAAGCCGCCGGTTCTGCGGTTCGTCTTAGGGCGGACCAAAAGACTATCAGTCCTAATATAGTTAGCATTATTGGTTAGGATTAGATTATGAGCACCATTATAAAATATACGAGGTTAATTTTTAGAGGCTTAGACAACGATGATAACAGGTTTTTTTTAACAAGAATTAGATGTATAAATCTAATATTTTTAATTAAAATGAATGTCTAGATATACTTATAGTACAGGGTTCATGAAATATAGATGTAGACATTTGAAGACGTATGATTACGTCGAGTAGGTTAGTGATGTCACGTCAAAAGCGCCATAATGACTTAGGATGCAACTTTTGACGTAGGACGTTGTCATAGGACACTATGATTGCCATAGAATGCAACATTGATATTTTTTATAAATTAATTGCGACAATATATAATCAATGGTTATTATATTTTTTCCAAATACAGTCCTTAAAATAAACGAATTAAACTTCATACTCACTCTGGTAATTTATTTAATGATTAAATGATTGCAATTTAATCACATTCTC